CATATGTAATTCCAAACCGGATTTAATAATTAGACTAAACCAAGACCCTCTAAACCTATTGGAGTATCTTAATTAGAGCTAAACACAACTCTACACTCGAGTTGTCTTGGTGAGAACATCAAACCAAATCAAGACAAAATCATGGTGTAGATCTAGAAAACGGATGGTGAACTACCCAAAATCCATGATAAACACACAAAACGTGGAGAGGATTTGAAACCAACAAGAGCAAGAGCAATTGGCCGTAGGGGTAGGTGAAGAAGTTGGTCTCTTTCTTCTGAATTATAGACTCTATAAAAATGTGCCCTCTAGGAAAGTTGAGTTTCAAAATGAGGAAAGTAGAGCAAAGAATTCAATTTTCCAGCTCCATGAATTAACTTGCCTTGATGCGCTTTAGCCGCAGAGTTCGGTTGAGCACGGGAAATTAAAGAAAATAAGGGAAAGTTAAGTCATCACGTTAAGGGTGGAATTATCTCGGATTTTCTATACCCGTAACTCGGAAAATATTTGATTTCCCAAAGAAAGTTGATTACAAATTCAAGTCGGGAATATGAGAGTATTGTATCTCGCATTAAATGACTTAAGTCCTCCAAGCTAAAAAGAAAGGAAATTTCCCGCTTGAAGAACTTGGGGGGGGGGGGGGAACTGTTGGCATCAGATTTTGTATAAAGAGATTTAACCCAACATCCCGGGATCCAGTTCCAGAGAAGGCCAAATTTCACTAAAAAGAGTTCCAAGTCGCGAACAAGAGAATTTCACGAGGTCTTGAATATGGGCCGCAAGTTGACGAGTACAAGTGGGCCCTAGATTCGAGAGGTTCGCTAAGTCTGCGAGATCCGCGGGATGAGAAGATATAAAGTTCGTTTCATATTCAAATCTTGTAACGTCTAATTCAAAGGGATTTAAGAGACATGAATGAGATTGTAAATAGGGAACGCGATTCTCGCAAATTGTAATGAGTATTTATACGAAATAATACGCAATAAATTTGTTTCTTTCTTACTTAGCCATTTTTCTTAAGTTATATTTTTATTCTGTCAACTAGTTCATTTCGCGAATAGGAATTTCGATAATTTGATTAACAGATCTCATCAAATGATCTCGCTCCAATTACTTTTCATCTCCGGTTCTCTATATTTTGGTGTGATCTGAATCGTACCAGATTCGTGACTCACACTCGTCAAACATTTGTGTGAGATATACATTTATTTTAGGAAGCAGTGGGTGGAGTGTAACTTGAGTCGATGCCATCCTGATTAGACTTGCTGGTTTGTACTGCCTAAAATATATCTTGTGGTGATCTACAAAGACAATAAACAAATTTTTTGAACCTCCAAAAATAATGCACGTCAGATGAGGGTGGGCCGTGGCGTTACCCCATTTTGATCGCCTGATTTCCATAACCATAATCAATTAATCCTGGTGATTTGCATCAGTAGTGTACAATCACATAATTGAGGGAATAAAGTGAATATCACAACCAAAATCGTCTTGATAACACCTCATATCTGAACCCGGGAAGATTTTTTCCACCATTTAATAGCAACAAACAGAAAACCTTTGGCGTTGGAACCACCGGTGTTGAGAAATTAAACAAGAAGTTACAGAGAGAATTTTGAAAATCATATCTGTTACGATTGCAAGAGATATCTTTATAGTTGAAAAATTAAATATTGTACAAGAGAAAAAAAAAATCCATTTATGGACTGCAATATTCGATTTCAGACTAGTTTAATTTTTTTTTCAAAGTTTAGTGTTAATTTACATGTTAAATTTTATGAGATTTTTTTTGTCAACCAAAAATTAATTTAAATATGCCACTATAATTGGTTATCCAATTAGGCAAAAAAATTTACAAAAGAAAAATTCATAATTTTAGAACATGCAGAACGGACCAAACAGTCCGTTTTTAGATTAACTGAACGAGAAATTAAAAATAGAAAAAACTAGGCAATGCGGCCTTGCAACTCCTAAAATTTTGCCAAGAGGATAGAAAAAATCGGCCACTTCTACAGATGTCTCACAATATCCACCAACTGAGAGCAATCTATCTCAATTTTATGAGATTCTTAAAAGGGTGAATTTGTAAAATAACAAAAAATATAAAAAATATAACCTAAAAATTCATAGAGATACATAAAGAAAAAGGTGAAAACTTGTTAGTTTTTTTTTTGTCATCTGATATATATAAAAACCGAAAGGCAAGAGGGATAAGAGGATTACAAACTCACGGTTTACCACATCGGAGAAAGAGTTGAAACAGAGCTCAAAGCCTCAAACCAAAACAAGCATGTCTAAAGCACAACACCACCACAAATACAAACCAAGGAAACCTCCTATTGCAAATCAAATTTACCTCAAAAACTAAGGCCTAGGGAACAAACATTGGCATACAAGCCAAAGAAAGTGGGAGAAGAACACACGAGAGCCACGCCACTGAAGAACCCACTGAAAAAGAGAAGGACCCCAGACCGGTCCAAGTAGAAACAAGGAGCGAATCATCTCATGTCGGATGAGCCACAATCAGAAGAAAGTAACAAAGTTGTGGATCCGAAAAGAGAAGCGGAAAGGATGAAGAGAGTAGACCTGCAAATTAAGGCAAAGACAACAAGAGATAACCAAACCAAATCCCGAGCCCAATCAAAAAGACAAATAAAGCAGCAATTTTAGATTAGAATTTTGTTTTTGGGTGCTATATTATGCTAATTTTAATTCTATAAAATTGAACCGATTTTATTTTTCAATTTTCCAGTGATGACCGTTGGATGTGTGATTTAATTGAGGGAGAAAAGTGTCTATAATATAGATATAACGTGAAAAATGATAAGTTTAGTGAATGGCACGAGGGATTACTTTTTTCGCCTTTGAGAGTTAGTACCCTTGCGATTTTAGCCTAGCCGCCGCCTGAAAATCTTGTTTCACTGTTTTCCCTCCCCGGTGTTCACAATCTCTTGATGTCACCGTGGGTGGGTTCTTTTCTTCCTTTATTTGTTTGTTTTGATCTTCATTGTTTGAGCTTATATGTTGGTTTGGGTCTCGTTCTCGAGTTGAGTGGAGGCTAGGTTAGAGTTTCGACTCTCTGCGTCGATTTGAAGTTGGTGCGGTGGCTTAGAGTGATTTCGGTGGAGCTCTCTTGTGAGTCAGGATTTTCGTGATTGGATCGTGATTTGCAGAGCAGATCTGATGGTGTTCTTCGTAGTGGAGTCTCCTTTAAGCTTCATCTATTTTGGGCGTTTTCGATCCGGTAGGTTGAGGCTTCAAGCAGCGGCGATTTCGACCTTCTCCGGTTGGGGTTGGGTTCAACGGCGATTCAAGGTCTTGGTAACATGCTTATCCTGGATTTGTTGGTTCGATATTGTTCTCCTAGCTGGGTCTTGGCGAGTAGGAGTAGTTGGGTCTTGGTCCTGCGGTTGCTTGGAATCAGTCTGGGCTTTGTGTAGTGTAGTGTTTTCTGTGGATTGATGGTGTGAGGTTTCGCATCATGGTTTGGTGCTGGTTTTTGGTGGCTTTCTCTTATGTGCATGGCTTTTTCTTTGTTCAAGATCTTTAGGGTTCTATCCGGTTCCGTTTTGGTTGTCATGTTTGATGCTCGTGTTTGATAATTGTGTTGAAGGCAGAAGAAGATTTGTTATGGTGTATTGATTTGAGGTTTTAGTGTGGCGAGTGAAGTTAAGATTGTGGTTTGGATGTGTTCCGGACTCGTGGTAGTAGCTCGGGATGAAGTTTGCGGCGGATTTATAGACTGGTGGTCTCGCTGGTCCTTTATTTGCGAGATTCGCGGAGGTTAGGATTAACTTCCTTCTACGCTTTCCTTTACTCGTTGGTGCTTTTGAGCTCTCCAATATTTGTTACTTTGAATTGAGTTCTCTTCGACTCTTGTTTATGGTGGACTTTATAGCATTGGTGATGATGAAGATTGTTATGGGGCAGGTCCTTCTAGTTCAAAAACTATGTGTTCTTACACTCCTTCCGATTATTTCTTCATGTTGCGATACTTTTGGACAGCTTTCCCTTAACAATATTGGGTCAAGTATCGTCGAATAAGCAATCGTAGGAGTGTTTTGGATTTGGTTATTTCTCCTTGTTGGTGATATTCAATGCCATGGTGTTTGAGTGCTTTAATTATGTTTTAAGGTTGGCTTTGGTAGGTATGTACTACTTTGTTCTGGAATTGATGTTTTCCCGACGATTTACGTTTGACTTGTTAGGGGTGCTTGGGTTGACTATGTATTCAATCTTGTATTCCTTTTGTGTTCAATAAAAATTTTTAGATGACAAAAAAAAATATATATAACGCAACACGATGACATCGACGGCCCAGAAAGCTCTCGTCGCGTTCACCAAACACACAGATCAAATTTTTATATAACCCTTTCTCTAAATACCTAACCACAACACCAACAAATAACTCCATATAACCTCATAACCTTTAATGAGAAGGGAAAAGACTAAAACACCCCAAACTAATAATTAAACAAAAAACGAAAAAGAGAAAATTAAAATCGCGAATTCGAATCCTCATCATCGTCCATTTCTTCTCTTCTTCGTCTTCGACAGACCAAAACACCACATTATCACCATTGAAGCATATTTTGGAGCACATTTGTTCAATTAAAGCCCAGTCCGCCATTGAAACCTTAGCTGAATGAATTGAGGTGCGTTCTACTATGTTATAGCTTTAAATTGTAGCTAGATAGTAATGCAAGTTGGATTTGGGATTATCTCCCATTATCTTGGATCCATCCCATCCTTATCTTATTCGTTAGCGATAGTATCTGGGTCGATTAGATGAAGTAATGTAACATCTCACAGTTGTTGAATCGTAGAGGATTAGTGAATCMTGGYCRAMAATTGAATAATGCAYACTTA